GGTAGAAGTGTTAACTGTTTTTGGGTATCTCAGTGTTTTAGAACTCATTTCTGTCAAGTCTGTTAAGTCACTACGTCCAAATTTAATTAAATTTGGCAACTAGCCATAGTGTGGGTAAACGTAAAATATCTTTTTAGCAAGTTAATGTGCTTTTTGCACCGCCAATAAACCCAGATTACAAATTCTTTTGGAAAATCAAAAATTATTGTTCCCTAAATGTAGGTTTTTATTTTTTTTCTCTCGAAAATCACAAAACTTACGATACATTTGAAATAGCTTCACTGAGGATTTACAGGGCCTTAGAACCTTATAAACTACACGAAATGGCACAAACTTGGCATCCGCAAAAATAAATCAGAACCGGAGATATAAAATAAAACATTTCAGGTGATTTTGTTTACTTCGTATATTTCTGACTTATAATGACAAAATATCTAAACATAGCCTGAAATAACACAAACATACTCTGCATTCCAATGGTTGTCAATAACGCTGAATTTGGGCACAATTCAGACGTGTTATGAATTTTTAAGTGACTCAATAGGACACAGAGAAAAAATGATCTCAAAATGACTATTTTTTGTTTACCGCAAAAATTCTTATTTAAGGAGGTTTTTTTTCAACAAAATTTTTTTGTCTACTTTACTGGTAGTGCCTTTTGGATATTCTTCATCATCTTAATCTCATTCAATACAAACCAGATTTTATTATCTTAGATAAACAAACAAATCGATACTTCCACAAAGTACGGCATGTGAGACTAGTATACAAATTACAACTATTTTTATCCCAAGTATTATCTGATTATACAAATCGTACCTTAAGAAGAGATTTTTTGCAGTATACCAGGTAAGAGACTTCTGGGATGAAATAAGAGCTTGCATATGTGCCGCAAGGGTCAATACTAGCCCCGCTGTTGTATGCCATTTTTACTTCTGACATATCCACAAATCACACTGACATATTACAAGTCATCCCTTTTCTACCCAAGCTTCCCTGTTACAACATGCCAACAATTAAAAAATCAGCGATCTTTGGAAAATAAAGCTTAGCCCTTCATAGTTACAAAATTTTTATACTACTACATGAGATTTGTCTGGCATATACTTACACAATGAAACTGTTTTAATCCGACAAACTATTTAGGACTTACATAAGAAAGAATAACTAGGAATCCGCACACACGATTAAGAAAACTACTTACTACCTACTGACCTGACCTATTTGTATGCACTGGTACCAACTTTATGGATACGACAATTATTCCAATATTCCAAGATTAAAAAGATTTTACGGCTAATAGTTTCCGTCCATTCTTATGTACGCACGCACACACTTCACAGGGATCTTTCATATGCTGTTTTTTCATCCATCAAAATATATTTCAGACGTTTTCGTAGTAAATTACAAAATCACACTAACACACAAATACGATCACTCCATTTCACACAATTACCCTATGTACGACGGAAAAGAATAATAAGAGATTATGATCATATTTTTCATCCAGAGCGGCTGTCAATGGATAACTTTCTCTACAACGCTCGTAATGTCACAATCACAAATTAAAATCCAACATGCTGTTGTTTATATAACATACAGTTATAAATGAAAATAAATTAAGAAAAAAAAGTTGAAATATTCATTTTGGGACATATTGATTGGTATTGAAATAAATTATATTTTGAATGGTTGATCTTTTTATTTTTGTACTGAGTAGAAGGTTGAAAATAGTCGTGCTGACTGTCACACGGTAATAATTTTTTTTAAATATTCCTTTTAAGTGGGCGTCGTGGGACGAAACGGGGTCAACATTTCAAATATAATCTAATATGAATTTATCCACTACGAACAATAATCATAGTGCTTGTGAAACACCAAATTATTAAAGATAACAAAGAAATTGAAAATTCTCGAGAGGATATTTTCAATTGATTAAAGATAATTTTAGTATGTTTATAAGGATCTTTTTTTGTCGAATTTTAAGAAGTCAAGGTCTCATCATGGCAAAACAATGTAACTTAAAAATACAATATTTAATACTTTAATGTAATTATGTATATTTATTTTTGATAACATGAATACTCGGTATGTTCTAGATTAAAAAAGAAATTTAATTATTATCTTCTAAGTTTTCGATTTATTAAGGTCGTCATCAGGACAAAACAATTTTAAAAATGTCTACAAATTGAAATAATTTGATTTTTAATAAACAGTTTCAAATTTCTTGGAAGACAGGCTCAGTCCCAACGAAAGATCAAGTGTCTTATACCCACGTTGGCAAACGTTGGGACTGAATCTATCTTAAAATAAATTTAAAACGGTTTATTAAAAATTTAATTATGTCAATTTGTAGACATTTTTAAATTATTTTGTCCTGCGACCTTAATAGGTGAAAAACATGGCAGACAATAATTGAATTTCTTTTTTAATCTAGACCATAACGAGATCCAGAGTATTCATATTAAAATAAACAGACATGATAAATTATTAAATATTATATTTCTAAGTTTAAATTTTTATATTTTGTTAAGTTTTATTATTCTATAAACAAAGCTAGTTTGGTAGATTTTGACTTTTTTAGGGTTTTTGTTTTTGGTAGTAGAGGGAGGGTAAGTAAAACAATGCCCAAGGGGCAAAACGGGATAAGTTCAAAAATTTTCTGAACCTTTGAAACAAATACTACAAAATACAAATAATGTTCATATTTCATCAAATTCTATGTAGTTGAATCTATAAAGATTTTTTTTTACATTTATGTAATCATATTTCGATTTTTTTCTACTTATCACATAACGCACCTTATCTAGTTGTTAACATAAAATTATGCTGATTATCGGACCACCACATATTCAGTTTATGTATAACTTCGATTTGTTTGGTTGGTGAAATAGTGTAAGTCAAGTTGAATTCAAAAACACAATATTTTACGGTCAGATAAATGCACTAATTCACTTTTAATCAATGAAATAAATATTAATACATATAGGTTAAAAAAATTGTCGCACTTAGACAAATATATGAGAGATTCGAGTTTACACATATACAAGTTTTCCAACTCGACTTTATGAACTACCCACAGACTATCACATCTAAAGAATACAGATTAAAGAAGATGTAAGAAACTTATGGTAATTTGCCAAAGTTTGACATATCCAGTTTTGCCCCGAGGGTGCATAACATTCTGTCAACTTCGTTTGATAAGGAGGTGGCTGATAGGTGCGATAGAAGGAAATTTTTCCGAGAAAATATATTCGGAACATCTATCATGATGGCCTTTGACCTAAACTAATCTGACAATTATGAGCATTAGTTCTATACATATTAAAAGAAAGCATATACATATTTAATTAATAATTGTAAGGTATGTAACACGATTTCGTTTGGTAGTTGTTGATTATTTTTATTCTTTTATTTTTTGTAATTGTGGGAGGAATAGTTCCTTTTATCAACTTTTTAATGGTACTGCGACAAGAGGAATAGTTTTTCCGTCGTTTAGGTTGAAAATTCATTTTGAATTTTAACAGAAACCATCCTTCCAAACAGGACAGAAGGTCCTGGAGGTTTTCTGGTGGCCACTACTGGGTCTGGGTCGTTGAATGAAAAGTGGCATCGTCTGGATACGTGATACCATTATTGATAGGTTTTTTTTCAAAATTCTAAGTGGGCGTACGAAATACGAAATGGCGTTATTAGAAATATTTTATAAAAATGTGTCCTATACCATAAATAATTATGTACTACTTATAGTAGTATGTTTCTTAAAACATTCCATTTTTTTTAAAGCGATGAACGGTCAATGAGAAAATTCGGTTCCCGACTCATTAACTAATGATTGATCACCTTTGAACCAAACCGATCTTAGTTCTTCTCTAATGAAGAGTTTAAAATTTGACATTTTGTGAGGTTTATTATTGTGTGGGACGATTTAGTTTGGTAGTTTCTGACTTTTGCGATATTTTTGGTTTTTGTAATCGAAGGAGGATTATTAAATCATTATAAACTTTTTATTATAAGGGGTGCTGATAGTGCGGCAGGGGGAATAGTTTTTCCGATATTTTAGGTTGAAAATTTATTCTGAATTTCAACGGAAATATTCTTCCAAAACAGGAGAACGTCATGGAGCTTCCAGCACTACTGGGTGGAAAGGAAAGTGTAGTCTGCATATGTGAGTACAGTATGGGGATTGTTAGTAATAAATATTTTTTAAATATTCTTAAGTGGGCGTCGAGGAAGAAAACTGAGTCAATATTTCAAATATAATCTTATATAAATTTATCCTATATCACAGATCAAACATATCGTATGTGGAACTTTCCAGATTTTTAAATCAATGAACGGTCAATGAGAAGATTCGATTCCCTCCTCGATGGCATCAATGATGATCGGGCTGCACCGATCTTTAGACCTTCTCTTATAAATAAAAGTAAGCAAAAATAATAAAATAATAATTGTGAAGTATTATTATAGTGTAAATAGGTTTAGTTTGTAAGTTTTTTGTTTTTGTAATATTGGGAGGATTAGTAAATAACCTTTTATCAACATTTTTTTGATAAGAAAGGGGTTGTTGATAGTGTGACAGAGAGAAGTTTTTCTGTCCGTTCGAGTTGAAACTTTATTCGGAACATTTGTACTTTTCTTGAAGTATGAGTTTTTCTCTTTATTTTTGGGGACTTTTTAGTGTAAATATTAGGTAATTAATAATTTCCAGGGGTCCAGAAGAGGAAGGTAGGTTAAGTTTGAAGGTTAGGGGAGTCCGAAGGTAGGCCGGCTCGGACGTACCCTGGGCGAGAGGGACGGGAAAAAAGGGCGATCCAGATGAAAAACTGCCCTGATTTTCCAGTCAGTTTTTTCGGTCGGAAAACCCTCCGAGGAGCCGGCTGGAAAACTGGAGCCGGGGATCGATTGGGCGAGGGACAGAGGCAATGGCGACCCCGAAAATCAATCCCGGGCAAATCGTTCCGAAATTAAATAAATGGCCGGAAAGAGAGTTGACTCACGTTGTATGGCGCGAGCGGTCGTCGAGAGCTTCTGGTTGTTGGACGACATGACAAAAGTCGGATCTCCTCCCGGTCGGTTTTACACAATAAACATGGGATTTCCGAACAAACCCCCGACTCGACAAAACACGGCACACAATATGTCCCACATAGGAGTCCTCGGCCGACTGCGCAGACGGACGCGCAGACTGAGAATCCGACCAGCTCCGCTGGGAGCGACACCTCACCCGGCCCGCGGCCCCGCCGATCCCGCCAACATATTATCAATACTCACTCCGTCGCCGACCCTCGACACCACATGCGAAGCAGCGAACGAAGCTCAGTGCGAAGCACACTTTCAACATCCATACGTGAAAAAATCACTCACATTCAATCATAATTCTTCGTCAATTCTCTTATTAATTATTAACTAACAAATAGTCAATAACGTCTTCCTATGCTTTTTTGTAGGGCATATAACTGAAATCATGAACTAATAAAGGTCAAAATTTAAAACGCTATAACAATATTGTGCTTCGTATAGTTCTTTGTAGTATGTATAAATGAAATTGTATATGTCTGAATTTAAACACCATAACAATACCTTGTTTCGCACTGTGTCGACTAAAATTGGTATAGGGGGGCTGGTATAGGTCAGAATTTAAAATTTGGTAGAAATACTGCTCTTCCCATACTTTTTTGTACTGCATATCGCTGAAATTATTTATTAGTGCAGGTCAAAATTTAAAACGCTATAACAATATTAGCTTCGCATAGTTTATCGTGGAGTAACTAAAAGTATGGGCTGATAGAATATAGAATAGAATATAAAATCCTATAGCAATATTGTGCTTCCCACAGTTTTTTGTAGTGCGTATAACTGAAATTATGAACTTGTCTGAATTTAAAACACAACAACAATATCGTGCTTAGTATAGTTGGTCGTAGGATAACTAAAATTATGGGCCGGTGTAGGTCAGAATTTAACAGATAATTTAATATTCTGTAGCGATATTGTGCTTCGCATAGTTCTTGTGGTCGAACAACCGAAATTATGAACTCGTATAGGTCAAATTTTAAAACGCTTTAACAATATTGTGCTTCGCACAGTTTGTCATAGGGCACTTGAAATTATGGGATGGTATAAATCAGAATTTAAAATTTTCTAAGAATATTGTGCTTCGCACAGTTTTTTTGTATTGCATATAATTGAAATTATGAACTCGTTTAGGTCAAAATTTAAACGCAATAACAATATTGTGCTTCGCACAGTTTGTCGTAGGGTACTTAAAATTATGGGCTAGTATAAATCAGAATTTAATAGACTTTAAAATTCTGTAGCAATATTGTTCTTCCCATAGTTTTTTGTAGTTGATATAACTGAAATTATAAACTAGTATAGGTCAAAATTTAAAACGGTATTCAATATTGTGCTTCGCACAGTTTGTCATAGGGTACTTGAAATTATGGGCTGGAATAAATCAGAATTTAAAATTCTGTAGCAATATTGTGCTTCGCATAGTTTTTTATAGTTGATATAACTGAAATTATGAACTAGTATAGGTCAAACTTTAAAACGTTATTCAATATTGTGCTTCGCATAGTTCTTGTGGTCGAACAACCGAAATTATGAACTCGTATAGGTCAAATTTTAAAACGCTTTAACAATATTGTGCTTCGCATAGTTTGTCATAGGGCACTTGAAATTATGGGATGGTATAAATCAGAATTTAAAATTTTCTAAGAATATTGTGCTTCGCATAGTTTTTTTGTATTACATATAATTGAAATTATGAATTCGTTTAGGCCAAAATTTAAACGCTNGTAGCGGAATGCTACAGAGGTAAACAAACAATATCATTTGGAAGAGGATTAATAAGTGTTGACATTCATACAAATGAGTAATCCTGTAAACGTAAACAGAATATTTTATATAGATTTTTTTTAATGAAAACTTAAAATCCTGCATTATTTTCCGGACAACCCAATAGTATATGTCAAAATTTAAAACGTTATATTGTGCTTTGCATAGTTTACCGGAGAATAACAAAAATTATGGGATAGTATAGGTAAGAAATAATAGAATTAAAATTCTATAACAATATGCTGTTTCGCATGAACTTAACTATGAAGTTAATTTTTTAGTTATTTGTATTACAATAACCTTTACGAAGCACAATATTACTACAGAATTTTAAAGTTTATTAAATTCTGATTTATACCAGCCCATAATTTTAGTTACCCTATGACAAACTATGCGAAGCAGGATATTGTTATGGTGTTTTAAATTCAGACATATTCAAATTCAATAATTTCAGTTGTAGGCACTACATAGAACTATGATAAGTACAATATTGTTAGAGCGTTTTAAACAATGACCTATACGAGTTCATAACTTCAGTAGTACTACTACAAAAAACTGTGCGAATCACAAATATTGTTACAGAATTTTAAATTCTATTAAATTCTTACCTACACAAGCCCGCAATTTTAGTTATACTACGATAAACTATGTATAGCGTTTTAAATTTTGCCCTGTACGAGTTCATAATTTCAGTTATATTCAGTACAAAAAACTATGCGAAACACAATATTGCTACAGAATTTTAAATTCTATGGGATGGAATTTCAAAAAGTCCTTTCTTAGCCGCTACCATTATAGGAATGCACTGTGGAAATTTCATCCCTTTAGATCCGGGGGTTTGGTCTGTGCGTTATGTGTCAATCAGTCACGGAACTGTATATGTATACTATCCAACCATCTCTACCAACATATCTCTGTCCTCTCCCCTGTCTGTCTCTCTCTCTGTNCACCATCACCCTCACCCTCATCCATAGCCTCACTCTCTCCATCTCATCTCTCGTATCTATATCTATTTAACTTCTCGTTCTCCCTTTTTCTTGTCTTTCTTCTCTCTCTCTCACACTCTCTCATCTCTCCCTCTCTCCCTCTCTCCCTCTCCCTCCCCCTCTCCATCTACCTACCCACCTACCCACCTAACCACCTAACCACCTAACCACCTATCTACCTATCTATCTATCTATCTATCTATCTATCTTTCTTTCTTTCTCTCTCTCTCTCTCACTCTCTCTATATCTACACTAGCTTTTTACCCGCCACTTCGTCCACGCAGGACTCTGTTTTCATGTACTTTTCTAATGCGATACAGAGCTCTAGTATGGCTTTCTAATATAATGTGTCGTTTCTGAAATTATTCTCTTCTTCAGTTCAATTCGGTCTATGCATGGTAAAGAATTGTCCATGGGATCCCCTTACGAATGGAATAGAATTTCAAAAAATCCTTTCCTAGCGGCTATCCATGTCATTATAAGAATGCACTGTCGAAATTTCAGCCCCCCCACACAGTGACTATGAAAGATAGATGAATACTTTTATTTACCACAAAAGAAAAAGGACTACAACAAAGAAGTAAATTTATAAGTATATGCAAGCATGAATTATAACTGTCTGCCGTAGGTTGTTGCCGGTATCATAAAAAAACAATATGGAAATTTACAAAAGAGAGTTGTTGCCTTTGTGTGTGTGCCTATGCTTTATTTGCAAAAGTATTGATTCTACGAAACGCTTATTTTAACAAAGCCTCATCGTCGAATTATTTTATTCCCTCATTTATTGCAAACAACATTGTAATAACCTTTAAACAGTTAATTATTTCATAACAAGCCGTTTAAATTATTATTTGTCGTCTGATTATGTTTACAGGCCTTACTGTCACTGTCAACTGCAGCTATGAAAATCATGATAATGCGATTTCTGAAAACTTTTTTCTCTCTTACAAACCGGCTAAGAGGTTCATTGGACATTGAGCCAATTAAGAAATGCTTAGTACATATGTTTAAGGGGAATGCTGGATGAACCTTGGAACGACAGCAGTGCACTTAGCAAATTGCCATCGCTATGCTGAACTTCTGGGCTAAAATATAGGTAGATTTCATCTCATCTACCAAGTAGAAGGAAATGGAATTTATATTACCTAATAAAATATTCGTAATATATAATAATCATTTAAATATTTTTAAAAAAGCGTAATTAATTATATATTATTCGTATTATATCGAGTGAAATAACGAGGATACTAGTTTCTTTATATTCTATTTTACTAAACTCTTTTTTATCGATAACAAATAAATGATTAAAAATAATTAAACTGGCAACATTCATTAAACAAAATCATAAGAGAAAAAAGTCTTTTTCGCACAAATGGAATATATACAAGTGCGTGTTAGCACTGGTAAGATGGTTTTGCATGCTATACCGACAAAATTATCAACGTATAAATTGAAGTCATCGTTATGTTCCAGTGATATACATCATGTCTCCTATGCTAGCTTTCATTGAATTTACTTAAAGAAAGAAATACTAAAAATTTCTATGGCCGTTAAACATGTTGAAAATGTTTGAAATAGTTACAAGTGTTCGGTAATAAAATATGTTTAAATATTTATATATATATANAATGAGTAATCCTGTAAACGTAAACAGAATATTTTATATAGATTTTTTTTAATGAAAACTTAAAATCCTGCATTATTTTCCGGACAACCCAATATAATTTGTCCGACACTTTACACTTTGTTGTTATTCATAATATTCTTAAAAAAGTCGTTATACATGGAAATAGAATCAAATTTTAGTCTTGTGCAATAGATGCTTTATATTTTTTTTTACATTTACTAATCTTTTGTATTTTTTGTGGTAGAAGAAATCGTTATCATACAAGATAGCAGACTTATGCGAATGCTGTGGCTTAAGAGATGGGAAGAGGGTTTGGTTCAGCTGCTACAATGTTGGCTACAACAGCTCTTAAGACACCCTTTCTCGGTTAATGATGATCAGTTTTAATGTGTGGTGTTTAGTGACCGTTAGTTAATGATTATTGGAAGATCGTGAGATGCGGTCTGGTGTGACGTACGTTTTAGAAAAACATTTTCTTTATCGTGCCAACGTTTCGATCTTTATTGAGATCATCTTCAGTGCTCAAAGTGTTGCAGGGCACTCTCAACACGACCTGAACCTTTAATCTGCCCGGATTATCCGTAGCGACAGGGGCCTTCAATACCGCTAGATGAAAATTACATCCAAACATATTAACAAAGCAACATATATATTTTTTTCAGATTTTTGAAAAGTATCATTATAATGTATGAAAGGTTGAGAGTTGAGAATTATTACGTAATCAGTGAGTACTCA